GAACAGTGCGGCTTCAGAGAGAGTCTTCTAAGAGTGACAGGGTTATAGGGTATTTTTTATACAAGGACAAAACTCTTTGTTCGCARCTGTCAGCAGGATTATATGATCAAGTGCTTTTCTACTTCGGTTTATGTAATTTACGTATTTGTTTCTATTGGTTGAATTTCCAGAACACTTGATAATTAATTTTGCTGAGGCGGACGCAAATGTGGTTAATGGTGAATGTAATTACAGTTTTCACTGTTAAATTTTAAATAAACAACTTCATTATGGAGTATCAGAAATGATACACATTTGCTAGAGCTTGGTAATATGGCGATTTTCAATTTCGTTGCTTTTTTTGTATTTATACAATTTTTTTGAAAGGTTTTAATAAAATCGTAGACTGGTTCTTCTGTTTTACTACATTCTCGTGGAAGAAAATAAAAACTGTCGTGATTTTATCTAAGATCCGGGTCTGCATTAGGGAAAATGCGTGGCCAAATGTCAGAGTAATTCGCAAATTGGAACTTACTGCTTGTGGCTTACCTTGCTACATCGTTTCATTTTAACCTCGACCCTGCGAGGGCGAATTTGGTTTATATTAGACAAGCATTTCTTGTCGAACAGTCAAATAAAAATTCCAATTACTTTTATTGATTTGCTATCTGTTTCCCGGCACTACTTAATAGAATATGGAATGGTTTATAGGAAATAGAAATAAATATTTGGAGTGTGTTAAAATTCCACAGTTCCTTTCATTCAAAGAGATAGAAAGAATCAAATAAAGTTTGAAATGTTGTTGTTGTTTGAACCAAACTGCGTTGAGAGGTTGGCAACATGTGTTACAATATAAGATACAGATATGAGCACGGGGATGACAGACGCAGGGCCGGACTCGCGCGATTTAAATTCAAAATTTAAACTGAAATTGTACTCTCGAGGCAAGCTTTGCAATTCTTTTGAATATTTCAAGACAAATTTGAGCGCTGAAAGCTTCCGAGCTTACATATTTTCAGACCTACTTAGCGGAAGCAAGAGCAACGCTATGAATTATTTTTATGTTTCATTACAATCAAGAATTTATTATGCACATACAGAAATTTCTTTACCCGAGCTTTTATTTTAAAAAATATCCGTTGTTTTCTACTACAAAACTTTTTAATAAAATAATAAAATTTATTCGGCTTTGGTTTTTAAATCAAGTTTTAATTTTTTGATTGATAGTAAAGCGTGTAACGTAATAGTGGGTAAAATTGTCCCAAATGAATCTCTGTGCAATGACGTCATTCATCGATCTGGCCTATGCTGGTAGAGGTAACCGGGTCACTAAAGTTCCCACCCACTCACCCCTTCTTTTTATTTCACCCTTTTAGAATAACCCTATCCTACCCAACAATAACTTGGCTAACAATATTTGTTTATAATTTTTATAAAAAAAAACTAAAACCTCTAAAGTTTATTTGTATCAGAACTAAATATGTATTTCTCAATAAAAAATTAAATATATACAAACATTTTATTTCAAAAAACATTTAGTTAAAAATTTTCTAAATAAACGGCAAATTATTTAATAAGCATCAAATAAATTTTGAACTAGGAGTGGGTGGTGCTGAAAGATGTCGCCACATGGCGAGCTTCAAAGCTCGGACACAACTTTCTGTTTTACCGKCCAGCAATAGTCAATTGTTAGTATAGTCAGTGGTTGCGTGATGGCGCTGCAAGTCTCAAAGCTCCGAGCTTTTCTACCCATGCTCGGCATGACGTACTATAAATATTTTATTATTTTTTATATTAACATAGAAGCTCGTTGCACTTTATTTATTTCGGGGTTTATGCCTACATAAACAAAGCTTTGGAAATTTATGATGTGTACGTTCTAACATAAATAAAACACAGCAACTCGTTTACTACACCAGAAATATGATTCATAAATAAAGTTTCAGGTATTATTGCTTTAAGCTCAAAGCTTTACTTTATCGTAATTTTCACGCAGCTAATGGATTAAATTGGCAAAACGTCGAGCTTTTGAGAGTTAAATTAATTCAAAAGTGTTTATTTAATTTTATTCTTGCTGTTAGCTTTTAACTAATAAATTTCTCGTGTATCTTACAAATAGATAAATGGAAAAACTACTTGATTCGTATTATTTAAATTGAGGAAACTTTGTCAGTACGCACAAAATGGGGATAAATATAACGATAAGTGCTATTTTTCATCTGAATAAGTAAAAAGTTTCTTGCTATCTATCAAAGAGCCCACCGTAAAGAATCTTATAGGCTATTTCTATCAAACGTTTTTGATAAAAYATGCTTTTATAAGATCTATATTTTTTCGTGTGGATGGAGTTGAAGATGAAGTTAGAATCAATCAAATAAAAGAATTTGTCTTGAGGGAAAAAATTGCGAACACGAACTTGGAAATATTAATAATGAACTTAATCTTTTTGATCAAATATTGCCTTAACAAAAAGGTGTTTGAGAAATGGCAGACAAAGAATAATTGTGATTTTTTTATTCATCGAAATTTCATTACTGCCAAAATCAAATAAATGTGCCTAACACAACTGCTTGCAAGTAGAGCTGGAATGTTTTATTAATCGAATTCGGGTATTCAATCTCTGAACTCATAATCCTTTTAGTGGGTTACAAACTTAGTTTATTCCAGGACAGAATACTTAATCAAAGACTAGTGAAGCTGTAATAAGCAAAAAAGCTCTGAGGTGTTAACTGATTAATTTTCATTAAACAACTAAGTAATAAAATTTAATTAATGTCAAGAGTTAAAATATACTTTCCCGTGAGAATTGCCCCAATTGGTTTTAACGAAATATTGCACAAGGTAACAAAATTTATATCGGGCTTAATACGTATTAGCTGCGCCATAATTGGGGATTTTACTAAGTAGGTATTTGCATTACCACATAATGAAGGGGTGTGGTCGCAGGATTTATAAAACCTGTTTAGTTAAAACGATATCCATTACTTTAAAATGTGAAGTTAAGACAAATATTACAAACTGAATAAATCACTAATTTAATATTTAATTAAATGAAAAATCAAGTGCATTATCTTTATAGTTATTTATTTTTTGTTGTCCAAAAAACATTTACCAATAGGACACAACTCTAAATTTTATAATTCTTTTTCAATTTTGCAATAACGGTTATTGTTAGTAAAAACATTTTTGTATAGTGTTTATTTAGCTATCCAATATATTCTTTTCTAGTGTCGCCGTAATCAGCTTATGCTGCTGTCATATGCTTTGTCCTTATGCTTATGCTCTCTTATTATGCTTACAACGTATGTACAGTTGCGGAATTAAAATTTTGGGCAGTTTTTTTCTGTCACTTTAAAAGGTTCACTGTAAACTACCGTTTACTGTCATCATGACTAACATTTGACAATTAATAAATAGGCAAARTGACATAAACATGACAAAAGTAAAAAATGAGGTTATTAATGTAAAGGTTGTTTTAGAGTTTACATTATGAAAATGACAATACTGCCAATACTGCAAACATTAATTTAAAATAGTTTTGAATCTTGTAAATGTATACAGTATGTCTCCGGATTAAGTTTACGAGAGGATTWTTTTTTATTTTTGATTGTACGCGAAAACTGCAAAGGAAAAACATTTTTTGCTTCACTTGAAACGAGCAAATCTGTAATTAGATTCAGTGAAAAGTTAAAAAGTTAAATTTTCTTTTGATTTTCGACTTAATAATCTGCTTGTTAAGTCTTATTACATTGCCGGTTTTATTTATTKGACAATTATATGTCACTTTGACAATTAGTTTATAATTAATTAAATATTGGTAGTTCTTGTTAAAAATGATTGTTTTTTTTTCTTCAGGCTGTTTCTTTAAGTTGCTATTTATTAAAATTATGTTTTTAGAAACATTTTTGATATTTAGCTTACGTAAACTCATTTGTCAAGGTGAGATCATTGTCAAAAAAATAAAACCGCCATGATGAGATTTGTAAAGCATCAGAGAAAAATTATTCTAAAGTCTAAAATCAAGAATAAATAAACTTTTCTTTCTACTGAGTTAGAATAATGAAATAACTACAGAYTTGCTCGTTTCAAGTAAACCAAAAAATGTTTTTCCTTTGCAGTKTCGACGTAAAATYAAAGATATTTTTTTCCTCTCCTTTCCTCTTGTAGACTCAATCCAGGGACGTGCTGTATAATAATAATAAAGTAAATATGTTATTTTACTTCTTACTTACATTTTAGGTTTTAAAATGTTTATGTCTAAGTTATTTAAAGTATGTAACATTAGAAACAAAGTTAGTAACGCAAAAGAGCACTTTGACCTCGAAATCATAAACATGCAAAGCTTTAGTAGTTGGAATATTATCTTATTTACACCTATGCAGAACAAGAATTTTTGCTTTTAACATTTCATTTGTCACACTTTTAGATTTGTCAAATAAATTTTTCGACACGTCAATTTTTTGTTATTGTGTTATGATTTAATTAAGTTATTGATATTCCAAGTCTCGGCCTGCTTCGAAGACTCCTCTTYACTTGCAAAAGAAAATGAATAATTCTAGGTGCGCCAGTTAGCGTCCCTGATTTGATTTTTACGAGCGACGCAGGTGCTGTTACTTTGTTTCCATCGTAAAGTTTTGCATTTTGTGATACATAGGACTAGTTACAGTGCATGAGTCCTGTATCGATACGTCTGATTTATAGTTTTACGAGCTTACTTTGCATTTTCAACCGAAATGTACATCAAGAAATGGCAGTAATAAGAGGAACCAAGGGACAACAATTCGGGCGTATTTCAACGTTCGATGATTACGTTTTATAGAGCCGTTGCCATTATTGGGGGTTGGGGCGTCTAAAATTTGCTATTCTACGGTTTTACGACGGCTACCATTAATATTCCGACAGGGCGCTCGTCTAACAAAACAGTCCATGCAAAGTGAGGTCTAAGGAAAAATTAAATTAGGCTCAGTATAGTGCGCAAACGAATAATGTTATAAAGATAATTTCAAAGGTGGAATGCTTACCTTACACCTCTCTGCTCAATTTAATCCGGGTGAACGCTGCTCTTCTTCCCGACTTTGATATCCTGGAAAGAACACTTGCGTTACAATTAAATTAATAATCATACCGGGCAGAAATGATGCGYTTCCTACAAAACATAAATTTAATTATTGGATTGTAAAATATTTTACTGTCTCGCTGAAAGAAAACGCTTCATTTCTCTTTAACGACACAAACGAAATTTTTATTACCGAGTTGGCAACATTGTGAGTCTTTGCCAGACCAAATCATTAGAAGGGAATGCAGTACTAATAAAGTACTTATTTAAACAACAAAGGGTTGTAAGAGTAGAACTTAAACTCGTYCTTAACCCAAGAATAGTGGTGTCCTGTAATTAACAATTAGGCTTGTTCTACTCCACTAACTRTCTCGACTCCATASAACAGTTTAAATAAATTACTTAATTTGCCTCGGAGTATCAAGCTWCGTTTCAGCGCCTAACCAAGAGTTTTTCAAYAGTTTAAGTCCTATATTTTACCCTTTAGTACATATTTTTTTCTGTAAAAATCCGTTTCATTTTTTTAACAGATGTGTATTTGCTTTARCTCAGAAAAATAACTACAAAGTATATTTAACACATTTAATTATATTATGGTATAGCAAAAGTAGTTTTTAATACCTAAGTTGAAGTGCAAAAGCCATTATTCGGCTGGTTGCCATCTATTTATTATTATTGCCATTATGGCCCTGTAATTGTCTGACGAAGCTTGTAGTTCATTTGACCCGCTAATGGATTTCGTAAGCCCAATTTCAATTATTTATCTACGGCAGGAGTCGCGTATAGTGCAGATGCACGAGATATTTCGATAATAGAAATCCGCAGACCGTAGATAATCGCGTTTTCTTCTTATTATCCTCGAGTGGGGGATTTACATTTTGGATTAAATTTCCCAAATATGGCTCGAGATAGAAAAAAATGCTGCGTTGGTAAGCTGCATAATCTACAGTTTTAAGAAATCACGTTTTTTACGGATTTTTTCTTGGCGAATAGCATATTAATATATAATTTGTAAGCGGTATTGTAGATTGGTTAAATGTGGTAGCTGGAACGATGCCGAATTTAGTAGAAGCTTCTGCGTTTTCGTATAATTAGTTAATTACAAGGCAGTGACAGCAGAATTCTCCATAAATAACTTACTAAGTCATTTTCTAATAGGGTATTTAGCCTAGCAAGGCTCATAAATTATAAATATATGACACTTTGTTATAATAGGTACTCGCAATATCTACTCACAAAAAAATAAAAATTATTGTACTACAAAATTTAAGATAAACGTAAAATTATGTTTTTAATATTTATAATTTTGTCAAAATCTCTTAAAACTGGAAATCGTTTTAGGGCCAGTTTCATAATCGAATTAAAGGGACTTTAAAGTTAATGTTGGTTTAGAATGTCTTTATTACTATGTACTTGTTGACAAAAATTTTACATTCTAAACCAATCATTATATTTCACCTCTTTGATCTCTGTCCGCAGAATGCTACAGGTAAAACAAATACGGAAACACATGGGTATAAATAAATACATACATAATTATATTTTTGTCTGAGTATTAAAGCTCGTTGAAATAAGACCCTGCCAATTCAAAAGCTTTAAGCTCGTGACGTGCAGTTGCTTACTTTTTTTTATTTGTAATTGAAAGCGGTTTTTATTCTTGTTGTAATTTATTCAATCAGTTCCTGTGTCTGAGCAGCGACGTCTCAAGATAAATAGAATCAAGCCGCGTATTTGTTTTCCCGCGGCAAAATCCGCAGGGYTMGTAATCATCTAATTATTTAAAAAAATTGCGAAACAATGGATCTTTTGAATAATCACCAATTTGGAAACAAAGCTCCCGACAATAGGGTTGTGTCAGTTCATTAGTTAATGTTGTGTTTGTAACAAAGAGCAACATTAGTAAGTCTGTCGCCGTTAGGCAGTCGAAAAAGACAATGCGTTAAAATTTATTGGAATTGACAAATTACACACCGACGGTCTGATGTCACAATCCAATTAAATTGTTATCTGCATAATAATAAAAGCAGTATTGTCGTTTCTCTTCTACTTGCTTTAATTTATTATTCTCTCTTCTGCCTCTATTTAAAGCGTCGTTCCTGTAGCTGACGCGTTTCTGTGCATTGTATTGCCATTCCGAATGTTATGAATGTGTGTTATAGTTCTATTTTGCAAAATAATTATGCGACGCTTGTTTACTTTTCTAATTGGATTCGCGACTGGCACAAAATATTTCGTTTTCAATCTCGAAAATTAAACACAAATAATCAAACAACCCGAATTGACAGGTAATACCCAATTTTCGCATACGATTGAAGAACGAGCAAACATTTGGCGTTTTCTTGTTTCACAAGGATAATTGATTGTTACTCGACGATATTATGTCAATACGAATCTATCACCAGAAGTTAGAATTGTTTTAATCTTGTTATTCAACTAGAACACAGAGTTCTTTCAACTGCAAAAAAGTTTATTCTTCTTATTTAGGAGTGGTTAGAAGATATTCAGTCAAACTTTTAGGTTTCTCACAATTATAGACGTGTGATCAGAATACAAAAGCTCAACGTAATAGATCTCTTATGTAATTAGTACAAAAACAACTAACAATTAACTGTTTGTTAACATTAACTACTTTGACTGTACCTCGCAATTAATTAAACCAGGTTTATCGAACATGTTGTTGTTGTAATGACACAATATATCCTTTATAAGTCGATGTTTACTTAACGATTGATCACAGCTGCTGTTACAATGTAGTGTATTTMTGCTAACTAACTTATCACACATTTCTAATTAAAATACAACTTTGTTAGTAGTAGTAACAAAAGTTTTAAGTATGTTGACTTTGTTAGACATTGTTGGTGCTGTTTAATACCTTCAAATAATTTTAAAAAAGTGCCAATTAAAAGTTTCTGTTGTTTGTTGAGCTTTTAAGAAAACATTCAAGCCTAAATTAAAACTGAAATTTTCAGCAGTCATTGCATCTTCTCTTTAATAAAGTGCAGTTTATTTATTTTATTTACGGCAGGTATCTTAAATACATTCATATTTTAAAGTTTTCGATCTTAAATTCAAATTGGAGGCGACATGAAACACTCTGTTTTTCAGAAAACATAGCGCTTTTTTTCATCCTCTATCCGCGTTAAACGAGAAAATATGCGTTATCAATTTCACCCTAACCGTGACAGAATTGAAGTGGATGAGAAAGTGGAAATTTTAAAACAAATTGATGTTGGGCTTCTTTTGTACAATGATTGCATTCTGCTCTTTCAAATATTGTAAAAAGTTTGATTTTGACGGAAATTTGTGCTGAACTTTGTTGAAGAGACACTTTGATGTGGTGTTGTTTGAAAAAGTTTCCAATTACTTCCAACAATAAGTTATTTCGGAAGTCTGCTTATTTGACAAAGAAAGATAAAGCAAGGCGTTCAATTGAAACGATTTCAGAAATGAAGTTAATGATCCTGCTAACACTTTGAGACGTTTCTCTTGTCACTCACACTCTGCACCCGCGTCCACCACTCCTAGGGAATAAATGATACCGACAGCTACTAAAATGTGAGTTTCACATGTGATACCAGACACTCCATTAGGGAACCCAAATAAATTCTTTGTCTATTTTTGGTTAAAAAGTAATTAATTTTTCGGTGAAATTTCTGCTATCTGGCCTTGGCATGATGTATGGGCCCCTAGATTTTCCGATGGCGATCTATGTAAATTGACGTAATCGCAGCATACATGCCAGCACTCCATCACTATGATGCATGATTGTTCACCTGATTAAGACTTACGACACCTCCCGTTTGTTGATGGTGTAAATCAAGCTTTTATTTAGCAGGAAATAATCGTGAAAAAAATTGCCTTAATTTGATAAAAATGTTACATCATGATTTATCGTCGGTGCCACTCCAAACTTTAAACACAGCGTCAAATCCTCTACAAGTTAACGATGATAAACGCTCATTTTTACCAAACTAGTACAATATGCATTTATGCAACGTGAAAATTTTCAAAACCTTAGATTTTAATAAATGTTAATGTTTACACAAACTAGTAGTTTGCTCGATAAGTTGTTTGTAGTTTGATGCTTTTGATAGTTTTGATTAAATTTATTCCTAATATTTTTTTAACTTTTCTTGAGATTTGAGTTAACTATGTCGAAGCTACCGCAAAGCTTTATTTTAATGTTGACTAGTTTTACTTCTAATGGATTTTAAGGCAATCAATTTACTTTTCTGAAAACAGTTCAGAAGCAACGGCACAATTAATTAGTGTTTAATTAGAAAAAAATAAATAAATTCATCTTCTTTCCGAGGATCTACAAAGAGAAGAGAGGTCAGTTTCCAGATATGCAGAAAAATGAATATTATATGTCAACAATAATCCGTGATGTAGACGTGACCCAAAAAACTGAAATATGATTTTTTTCTTTGAATAAATTTTTTTCAAGTCTGAACGTTGAATAATAACTTCAACGGAAACTGTGAATGTATATCATTTGAAAGAAGATAAATAAGTCGGGATCTAACAAAATTTATTTGATCAAAGGTTTTCCTGAATTTTAAATAGGAAGCCGGCACACATGAAAATCAGAAACATATCAATGTGTCAAAAAATGTGTAATTTTGTAGAGCTTTAGTCGCTAGAGTACTTTTTAACTTATAATTAAGTAAGTAAACACGTTAAAACTTTGCACAGAAAACAAACCTCCAAACTCCATCAAGAAAAATCGTTATTTTGTCGGGCGAATTTATCGAAACTCAACTTTTAATGTTTTAATTACACAGTGTTGAGCTGTCTGAAAGTAACGTAATTGAAGAGTTTTGAAATTTAATTATGTTAAAACCGCTGCAGTCACCAACTCATAAGAATATTTTAAAAACGCATTAGAAGGTCTTGCATTGTGAATAGTAAGATTAGATTTATGTAAAACGTGAAGAGCTTGCAACACACGAGATGCACTTTAGGTTGAGATGTCGCCACTAGATAGAGACATGGAAAGTGCAAGCTTAGGGAAAGCCGTTTCAAAA